GGTCTGTATGTCTTCGAGTGACAGCATTAGTTCCACAGAGTGGCATTAGTTCACTGACAATGCACGTGACACTTTCAATGCACAGTACTTTGAAAAATTTTGAATTAATTAAAGTGAATCCACTATATGTGAGCATATCAGTTCAGAGTTGTATCTCCTGTGTTGTTGAAATAACACCAAGGAACAAGAATGTATATAACTATCAGCTCACAATAACCCTGCCTTTTGAGGGCCATGTTCTAAGCAACTCATATCAGTTTCTGTTATAAAATCAATGTGATCTATGAAATTATTTCAGAAGCAGAATTCGTTGATCACAATGGAAGCCTGGCACAATAAAGATAGAGCACGTCCTCATGCTCTCGAAAAGAAAAAGAATGTTTCCTAGAAACACAGAAAACAAGAACAAATCTCACACAGTTCCCCTTTCTGACCAAAAGCCAGAAATAATTTCTGAAACATAAAATCTAAAGAACTTTCCACTAAGAACCCCTAATCGTGTTGATTACAGAAACTTCCCATGTAATCTATTCAAATGCTTAACAGGTCCTCTTGTTGCTGTTTCAGCATGCTCATATATAACAAAAGCAGAAAAAAAAGAATCTTTGCAGTAAATTTTTTATAATTATTGTGTTTTCTTTCAATCTTCCTTAAACATAATTCTTTCAGTCATTCCCAAACGAGTTTGCATTTGTAACCTCTGATCATTCCGGTTGCTTCTCAGGGGTATCAAAGTGCAAAGTGTAATATTTCAATTAAGGCCTGGAGTGACAGGCTAGGTAGGCAATGCTAGGCAGAAGAGGATTGCCTCATCTTTGCTATGAATGCTACTCCTGTTTACAAGTCTTAGTATAGTACAAGTCCTAGTTGGCATTTTTCAAAGTTGTCTGAAAGTTACTAATTCACATATTCTGATATGAACTGGTTGAAAACTGCTTTCTCTGCTGTTAAAATAGCATAAATCCTTGGAGGTTAAAACAAAACAACCTTCTTCTGGTTTGTTTTTTTGAAAAAGAAAAAAAAAAGGTTTCTCAGAGCATTTGAAACAATCTACTTGCAGAAGCGAATTTCTTTAACTTATATTCGTTATTTTATTTGAGCACTTATTTACAGCATGGTTTCAAATAACAGCAGTCACCAGAATAGGGTATCCAATCTAATAGTCTTATTACCTTTCTTGCATAGATTGTGCCCAGTGTATCGGGCCCCTAGGGCATTGCATGAAATCAAAGACAGCAGGGATGAAAAGATTTACAAGGTTTTCTAGTCTAACATTCTTCTAATCAAATATTAATTAATATCAACCTAGAGAGGCTAACCAGCAAGTATGCTTGTGGTAAACTGTATGTATAAAGTAATGTTTTTAACCTTCAGCAGGGTAGAAAGAGGCACTAAATTTGGCTAAACCTTTTGCCAGCTTTCACAAAATCTGAAGGAATGTGGTTTGGAGTTTGGGACTTTGACTCTGGACTCAAATTTGACTGAAATTGGCTGAGAGATTGAGGTTACTAGTCAGCAAGCACATGACATGATTGTGTTAAGCTTTACTTTAAGAAGTCTGACTCTAAAGGGACTAGAATCATTCTTGGAAAGATGCCTACTTGTGGGACCTGAGACAAGGACACCTAACACCAGCAGACAGTAAAACACCAAGTAAGCTCAAAGCAATGACTATTACATACAAAGAACACAGGTAAACTGAATAGTTGCCTTAACACTGATCTGGAAATACAACACAGAAATGCAGTATTTCTGCTTAAGGTTATATGGGAAGAACTGTTCACTACCGACATAATGAATGAACTAGACTCTATTCTCAGGTTTGCCATAACCTTGAGAAAATTACTTACCTCCATCAATTTTCCATTTTCCTAGCTATAACACAGGGATGATCTTTCAGTATCCCTAAAAATGTTTTTTAAACTCCACACTCTAAAATTAAATTGATAGTTAAATTATTGACTACCATTTGTACTCCTGGAAGAAAATGCAATTGTGGAATCAGACTTTTTACTTATGTATTAAATCCCTCAACTCTCTATGGTCAAGGCAGTTGCTGAGATGAGTAATTCAGATCACAGTTCAAAACTTTGGATAATGGTAGGAAAAGGCAAACTAAATTAAATAACATATATCCAACTGGGTGAGATGAGTTCCTCAGTTGCAAAGTAACCTACTAGTTACTGAGGATATGAATAATACCACCACAATACAAAGTCAGCACAATCTATGTGGCTTCATTATTTGAATAAAGGGGTGCAGCACTGGTAACTTAACAGTGGAAAACCTACCAGAAATCTACTCAAAGAGATAGAGCCACAGATCCCATTCACTGTTACTTGGTACCTTGTGCTCCATGTGATTTCTTTCAGCATACACTTCTTAGGCACTTCTTTCAGACAAAAGCCTGCATTTGTGTCCCTCCAAGCACTTGCGGTTGTACATATCCTTGGATATTCAACTGAATATCACCAACAGTCCTAACTTGGTTCATCGGCTGAGGTCTTCTGTTTTGTCACCATCTAATGTGGAGTAACTTACTGTAACAGTTACGTACATTTTTTCCACAGTGCTTTTAAGAAACACAGAAAATACAGAAAACATGTCCTGCAAATACTTGAAACTTAATGGATACTTTGTATTATTCATATGTATGCTGGGTTCTTCATATCAGAGCCCCTCATTTTTTCTTGAAATCATTAGTGCATCATTAGCACCATATTGCTCACATTGTCCAGTTCTCAGATGTGCGTTCAGGAAGAATTCCGTTAACAGAGACTTGGGCTGTGAATTTACACCAGTCACATCTACGTAATTTTAATTCCTGCAATTCTGCCTTGCACAGCACTTTCTATTGTAAACTCCCTTACTTTCAGCACTCTCTAGCGCCCACGTGGTTTGGCACAAGGCAGTAGCTCCATGCTTCTCAGCTGCGGCATGTATCCGTTATCTGCGTAGGCAGTGAGTGTGGTGTGGTACCTCAGGAATCACTTTCTGCCCTCAGTGATGCTTTATTCATTACTTTTGTTGAAAATAAAAAAGACGAAAAGAGAGGGGCTATCTCTCCCTTCAGCAAGACCCGTGCAGAGCTAAGACTTGATCCCCAAGTTGCCGAGCCACGGCACGGCTACCTCACGAAGAGCAGCTCCACACGCGACAAACCGTTTGCCCAACCGAAAAAACGGTCCTCGCGCGCCAACAGCCACTGCGCACGCGCACGTGCCCACCGGCGGCGTGGCGAGGCTGCGGGCGAGACCACTGCGCTACGCCCCGGGGGGGCTTGGGGGG